CACAGAGAGCTTGAAAATGGATGCTGAGAGATTTAACTCCGTTTTATCAAACGTGTGTTCATCCATGAAGACAATATTTTTTCCAGCGGATGTCTAAGTTACAACATTATTGAGCTAACTGGAGTAGTGTCATGTCGTATCCGACAACGGGAGGCTTTTAACAGATGACGTCCTGATGTTAGCTTTGCTGCTGCTGTTAGCTGTCCCTGTCAGCTGCAGCCACTGATGCTTTCTAGACATCGTGATTTCCCAAAACTGAATAAATACCACACATAGCAACACAAAACTGCTTTGCTAGCTCAATCATGTTGTAACTAAGATATCCGCTGGAAAAGATTTTTTTTTTCACGGACCGTTAAATGAGTTATTACCTATTATAGACACTGCTAACAGGGCTAACAGGGCTAACAGCTAACGGTTAGCCCAGCTAAACGTGCATACAGAAATAGTAATGTTTGTTCAATCATTGTGTTTATAGACTTTACAAACATCGGATTAGTCTAAACGGTGATACAGTGATGTGAAAAATGTGATATATAGGCTATATATATAGCTAAAAGCTCTGCTGGTTTTCTACCCGGAAGTATTTGTAAACAACAAGGCGATTCCCTCTATAGTCTGGCTGGACGGATGAGTCATGGCCTTGTAAAAGATTATGTTTGTTTCTTTTAGTTGGCGAGAATGTGTCACCGCAAACGCGACAAACATCCACTAACTTTGACGGCGTTTTCTGCGAGCACGGCTGAGCCATTTTGTACCGCTACACGTGTTTCTAGTCGGACTATGTTTACAAGCACAAGAGTTCAGCGAGCCACCAAAGGACCGCCCTGCAGATTTACTATTGGTTCTGTGATGTAGGAAGTTTTTTAAACTCTGAAATTGTATCCGCCCATCTAAACACAAAACCAGGGAGAAAGTCATCAGTCTTTAGTTAAGCAAAGCGTCTAAAGACTGACTTGTGAGTCTAGGAACCACTGGACTAAATGAACACAGACAGGAGACTCCGTCCATATCTGTCCAGCGTTGAGCATAAATGAGCCTTAAGTGTGGCCGCTTCTAGCTACTGTTGGACACTTGGACACCATTCGGACAGTCCGTTAGCTACTTCATCTGTCATATAAACAACATTCGGTTAAATCGCCAGGGCCTGGATGGGCTGCTTTGCCCGAGGCCCCCCAGAGCCTAACATTTTTCTTTACAATTAACACTTGAAATGATGAAGGCACTTGAAAATGACAAGGTCCCTTACAGGTCAAGTTGTTTGTATTTGTTTCAGGGCAAGTTTTTTGTAGAAAAACCTAAAATAAATGTATTTTTTCTTGGTAGTAGAAATTACACACACATACACATACACACACAAAGGTGTAAATGTCTCAATCAAATGGAGTTTATGATGTGCACTGTATATTAAATAGTACATTGTACATTATTTGCCATCCAACTGATTAGGACGTTTTATCTCAGGATTTGGCTGATAACTGTTCTTAAAGTCAGCTTCTAACTACATGCATTTCATTATGCTTTGCTTTTGGTAACGGGCATCAAACCAGTCACTTCTCAGCAGCATCAGCAGCCAAACTGCTTCCCGAATCAGGATATTTTAATCCCGGAGGATTACATTATCCCACTTGTATTCGAGGATAAAAAACGTTCCCAATTCAATTATTCCCCCGTGGAAACAGTGTGAAGAAGGGAGGCAGTGGCAAGCGTGGAAAATCCTTTTTTAACCCAAGTTTGTGTGTATGTGTTCAGGTTTTCAAATGTAGACAGGCTCGGTAGACTCAGGACTGCCAATCTGCAGGGATTGTTGATGTCTGGTACCACCTAGTGGTTAAACCTGGGTTGTGCATTAAGTTTCTAACATGAAACACTGAATGTAACTGATTATATTTTTTATCTCATCTTTTGTCATACATTAATTATGAACAATTTAGATTAACACAATCCTCAGGGTTTGTATCAGAGCTGGAGGCTGTAGACTTTGAGTCTGACTTCAGTCACAAAGAGAGGACTTGAGACTGATTTGAGGTTTGACTTATCCCAAGTTTGGTCCTGGTATAATCCCAATGCACTAAATAAAAATTGATAACACAGTAACAGGCAGGCTTTGTACATATAAATGTTTTAGATCTGTGGAGTTAAAAGATTTAATGTTAGCTACAGGTTTGAAAATGAAGTGTCCAAATGCATAATTTGAATGGTCAGCATTCAGACATCAAGGACTTGCAATTTACCATTGAAGACTTGTGACTTGACCTGGACTATTCCCAAAAACATATTCAAACATTTAACTAAAACAACCTTGATGATTGGTATGCTGTAAACATAAAAGGACAAGGTCACAGTTAAATTTATTTATCCTTTATTTACTCAAGGTGGAGACATCAAGCGTCCATTTAAACCGTTCTCAGGAGTTCTCTGCTGCACGCTCACACAGGGTGCTGTTGCAGAGTGGCCACAGTCGTGGTTTGTTAGATATTGTGCAAATACACTGAAATATTTAGAGGTTAGGTGTCTTGCTCGAGGGGAGAAAACCAACATCTTACTTCAAAGAGGTTTCTCATGCTGGTAAAAATTTCTGCTTAAACAGTCCATTTCCCCCGCTGTTTTCTGAAAACGTGAGCTTTAATTGACAATATAAAATTATTAGGACTTTTACATCTGTGAAGTTGATAGAAGAAAGTTGCACAGGCTCACTTTGTTTTCACTGGAGTCAAGAGATCTCTACATATGTGTCAGAAGGAACGGTAAAACCAGAGCAGTATGGTTATTTCCCCTAAAATATTTACCTGCTGACTTATTTCAGCGCATTCTTTTATGATTTATTTGATTTCTCCTTAAAACAAATGCAAACATGGTTTAAATAACTTAAAGGGACAGTTACAGTTCACCCCCAAATAAAAAATACATATATTTCCTCTTACCTGTAGAGCAAATTATCAATCTAGATTGTTTTATTGTGAGCTGCTAAGTGTTGGAGATATCGGCCGTTCAGATGTCTGCCTTCTCTCCGTCATAATAGAACTGGATGGCACTTGGCTTGTGGTGCTCTAAGTGCCAAAAGACCTAAGTTTGAAAAACTCAACAGCAATATCTCTTTCCAGAAATCATGACCCGGTAAATGAAGATAATCCACGGACCTTGTGGAGAGCAGTTTCAGGTAGGAACTATTTTCTGTCTACCAAACAACACCAGCCAACTGAAGCACAGCACAAAAGGAAGCGTGCATCTCATAAACGAGAGGCTCATGCTCGTGCGAGATGTACAGATTACTAGTGTCCTCCTTAGCTGAGCTGTGATGCTAGATGAGCTAGCAGTAGATGCACGCTTCCTTCTGTGGGATGATGTGGTTGGCAGGTAGAAAGAAAATAGTTCCTCCCAAGACACTTTAGATTGATTTATAGCACTACAGGCAAGAGGGAAAATAATATTTTGATTTTAGGGTGAACTATCCTTAAAAACGAAACTTGTTAGAAGTAAAATGCTGTATTTTTAAAAAAGGCTCTCTTGTAGGATTTTGTCACTTATTGTCATGAAAATGCTTACAAATATTGAAATATTAATATTGTGTTAGTCTCATATAGGGCTAAATAAGTTGTTAAATAACCTGTTCATGAGACAGTTTCTGCTGTTCACAGTAGCATGTAGTGAATTAAAAACACAATACTGTAAATTCATAGTCGAAATATCCTTGCTATTAGCAATACATTCAAACAGCCACAGTATCCAAAGGCCTGTTTCAGCCACAGTAACATATCAAGAAAACCAACACATGTATACAACATGTATCTGACAACAAATATTAGAAACATCTGTATTCACTGGGTTGTGCTACAAAAAATGTGAAAATATTAAAACCTTGTCCTTTTTTGTCGCATGTGACCAGGAAAAACAAATAAAAATAGTTACATTATTATAGAAATAATTATCACAATCATGCACTTTGACTGTAAAAAGTAAACATTTGTCTCAAAACCCACATCTGGGATGTTTAAGTATGAAACCTCTGTTAAAACAGATTCTGGTCCATTCTGCTCAAAGTTAGAAAACATAAATTATTTACAGTGTAAAAATACATCTTACTGTCACACAGTGTCGGTCCTTGTATCAAGAACTCTGTCAGTTTGTGAGTGAGACCAAATAAAAAAGGATAACAGACAATAATGAGGAAACAGTGGACACACAATTTATAAAATCACATAAATCAGGTGACGGTGCAGAAAACTGTAACAGCCGTCACAACAGTAAAACCACCTTACCACCAGAATTTAAAGGGTCAGTTCATCCAAGTCACAAATACATTTACCTGCAGTTAGCAATATCTTGCCAAGTATGACTGGCGTCTGATTATCTCTGCTCCCATCTCAACAACAAAGCCTCTTTCCAAAAACAATGCACCAGTCAGCAGTTTACATTGGAAACAACGGTTAACAACAGAAATCTTGGCAACAACTGCTCTTAAAAGCTTGGCAAATAAAAGTGAATCTACAGTATCTGGATGATCACATATTATGAGGGATAAGTCAGAAAATTTGTGATGATTTGAGTGAACCGACCCTTTAAAAGTCAATGAAAAGCCTGAATTGAGTCTTAAGGCCCTGAAACACCAAGCCAACAGTCAGGCGTTGGTCAATGTTGGGGCCATTGGTGAACGTCTGTGGCCCTAATTTGCGGCAGCTTTCTTTCCTACCATTCAGCAAACTGAATCGATGTTGGCGAATGCGGAGCCCGTCGGTGAATGAAGTAACTCTGATTGGCAGTTCTGCTCAGCACATGAGCAGAGAAACAGAAGTGAGGAAAGTAAACAAAGAACTAAAGTCAAGAGGCAGTGAGACCAAAACAAACTTGTTACTTAAGATTATTTTTCTTTAGGCATTGAGCTCTTTAGCTAAAACAGTTTGTGATGGTTTGTGTTATTGTTCATTGGTGCACGGTAAATATGCTCTGTTCTGTCAACACTGGTTTGTGTTGCTAATGTGCTAACTGGCTAACTAGCATCCAGACGGTCTTCCGGTTTCCCTTTTTGAATGATGAATACAGACTACCGCCGTCTGCTAGTGTGGAGAGTTATTTGCTGTCACGCATGCGCAGAAGGTTCATGCTGCTTGGTTGTTGGATGAAGTCCTTGCAGTGTGTTCATGCGCAACCTTAAGGCCAAGACACAGTCAACATGAGGCAATGCAGCAGAAGGTCTTTGTTGCTGCTAATTCTTTGAAGTCGGTTTGGTGTGTCTGGGCCTTTATGTGTGAGGTTCTTACTGATCCAGCTGGACTGTCGATGTCACCTCAGATCTAAGACGAGATATTTGACTCTTTTCACTTGATTTTTAGAGGAACGTGGAAAAGTGAAGCCAGTGAAAGGACATGCTTCAGAAAGAAGTTCGCTTCAACTGAACGCAGTGGAATTATCGGTTACCACTTTTTTTTCACGTAGGAAGCGAAGATGTTTTAATGTATAAATATTTAAAAACATTAAAGTCTTTGACACAATCATTTTATGGCTCCAGGTTGAGGCTGACACCTCAGATCCGATTAGACATCATCCTGGTGTTGAGTTTCAAAAAGAACGACCGCAGCTCGCACAACGGGCACTTTGGCTTCTTCCTCTTCTTTTTACCGCTCTTACCCTTCTTGTACACTCCATTATATTTTCCCTCCTCGTCCTCCTCTTCTTCCACCCAAGGTTCCCAGGCTCCACTGTGCTGGCTGGGATCGGCCCGAGGGTCGTCAGGAGGAAAATAAACCGGCACGGCTGTTCGGTTGTAGTAGGCGAGTCGGGCCATCAGCTGCTGGACCACATCTGGTCTCTGGTCTGCCAGGTCCTGCCGCTCACACGGGTCGGCCGTGATGTTGAACAACCAGATGTTCTTGAGCGTGGAGGATTTGGGTCTCGATGAGACAGCACGTTCAAGGTTCCACCAGCGACCAGGGAGAGTGGGAAGTACCTGAGGATCAAAATGTGCAGTTAGTTATGTTCTTCATGATCAGTTCAAACAGTAGAGTTAAAATAATCCTACTAAAATGGGTCTAAATGCGTTGCAGTACCTGTGGGGGGACCCAGTCTCCATGGCCTGGGTCTCCTGTTAGCAGCTTCCAGTCTCCAACTCTGATGGCAGCCTGGACCGATGCATCCCACACTGGCTGGAAACTTAACTGGGGCACCGGATGGGACATGTTCTGGTGTTGGAATAATGTCCGCCTGGACTTTGACTTTAAATGTACTTTGAGCTTTGTCTTGGATTTTGGTTGAGGTGGTCTTTCCCTGGACAGGTTCTGTTTCTGGGATATGTTGCGCCTGGATTTCGACTTTAAACGTGATTTGATATGAGGCTGAGTTTTAGGGTGAGATGTTCCTTTTGCTGATGGAGCACCGCTGTAGTGGGACTCCAGAGGAGGTTTGTAATGTGACTGTCTCTGCTTCTGAGGGTAAACTTTGGTGGTGGGTTTGGGTTTGGGTTTAGGTTTGGGTTTGAGTTTTGACTTTGGGAGGGGTTTAAGCTTCAGTTTGGGAAGTTTCTTGGATTTAGGTTTGGGATGAGGCTTAGCAGCAGGATGGGGAAATGTTGGAGGTTTCTTCAACTTGAATGCTGACTTCTGCTTTGGTTTCTGCATCAGGATCCTCTTATTCTTTGGATTCTTTGGGCCTTTGACTACTGATAAATCAAAGAGAAACAGGTTTGATGAATGAGGAATACACGCTTCTTTAACCTTCATTGATGTTGTACAAGATCCCTGGCAGATATTGTTTTTACATTATTCAATTTTTATGTCACTTAGGTATCTGTAAGAGGTGCTACTGCTTACATGTCTTTATTCTATACATCCCTTTTTACCACCCCATTAACTTATCTTACCATACCATCTTCTCTTAGCACCAAATGTCTCTTTATTTGCTTTGACTTTTATATTACTTCAATTTTCCTGTCCTCCTTACGTATATTTAATTCTTTTCCTAGTTCTTTGCATTGTTTTCTTAAATTCTCACTCTGCAAGCATGTTTCAAGAGTATCTCCCTCCATGGTGTTTGCATGTGTTAACAAGAAGAGCCTGTAGACATGCTAGTGGCTCTGTGACGTTCCATGTTTACCACATTCACCATCTTAGTTTTATGTATGAGCATGCTAACATTAGCTAATTTGCACTAAACACAAAGTACAGCTGAGGCTTAATACTATACGTTCTGCAGGTATCTGGTCATAAAGCAAAATATGTTGACCTGATGATGGTCCTTGGTAAGAAGTTAAAGGAAATAATTCATACAAATATTTCTGTGAGAGTGGAAAAACAGATTATACTCATAAATAAGATGCACTGACACCTCGTAACCTGAGTACAGAAGTAGCTCTCTGAGTACACCAACTTCTGGTAGTTACCTAAGGGTTCCTCTGCGCTGACATCCCAGCTCATGGTTTGAGCGTGAGGTTTGTGCAGAGGGTCAATGTTGTGAAGGATCTCCTGACGAGGTGACTCCTTCCCTTCACTGATGGCGGGCCAAACATCAAAACCATCCAGCCCATGACTCTAAGAGGGAAATAAGTGCACTCATATCACAGAGAATAGACACATCAAGTCATATGCAGACTAATGAGAGAGCCCTTTTATGTGTGCAATTAAGTACTGTGGAACTCTGACAACAGTCTTTCTTCATTTTACCACACAGGAATAAATGATAATAAATTTCCTTTGGTAACAGACGCTACCGAGTTCCTGGATTAGTCAGATACTGTCTTGATTGTAGCCAAGATAGCCTTGTTTATCTGCTTTGGCAATGGAAACCTACTCACATACGATGCCAACAAAGCTATTTGGGAGCTGTACACACACTGCATTGACGTGCCAATAAAAGTAATATTTACGTCTGAACTAAAACACAAAGCGTCTATGTAGCCAGTTGTCTAGAAACACTGCACTTATCGTGATAGGTCAAGAGCACACTTATCTACATGATAGCAAATACAGACAGTTTTACAGGAGCACTGTAACCTGAACTTCGGAGGCCAAACTGAAGATTAATGTAGATGGAGCTCCTCATTCAGCTCCAACCATGACAACAAATAAACTCGTGCATGAACATGAAATCCGTGGGAGACACTGAGCGAGTCAAGTTACCACAGGACTCTAGCAGAGTAAAATTTGCTGAGACAACTAGGAAAACATACAGAATATAAATCCAGTGTACTCTGGACTGTCTTACAGTAAAGTGATTGCTTGTATCAGGAGCTTGGGTGGCTGCATCCCTAAAACTCGTCTGTTTTACAGCACAATAAAATGGTTAGTAATGCACTCAGTGAGAGTGCCTCTTCTGTGGTACCTACTCTCTTATACTGACAGGGATCAGAAAGCATCAAGTAGGAAAAAGGAGAAATTGCAAAAATATTGTTTCACTGACCTGGCTGGTGTTTCCCCCGGCCAGGCCCACCAGTGTGGGGAACCAGTCAGTGATGTGCATTAGAGCCTTGGAGACCCGTCTCCTGCGTTTTAACAGGGGGCTGTGCACTAACGCCACTCCACGGATTCCACCTTCCCAATACGTACCCTGGAAACACAGTCAGGAAGTTTAACAGTTTGTAATGCCATTCTCATTAGTATGGGGGTAGGATAATGTTACGGATATGTCCCCCTTCTGTTTTTGAAAATTATTCTATCCACACAACCTTCGTTTAACAAATTACACACCAGAACACAAGGATGACTCCAAACTCTTGCCCACGTAAGCTGTCTCCCGCAGTCTTCACTTGTTGCAAAGGTCGTAAAGTGCACAGACTATTGTTACTTTTTAAAAACACCTATTGGAGATCTCATTACCATTGTTTTTCCTTTGATACAAGTATGAAGGAGCTCACTCCTAGATAAAAGTAATGCTCTGGACACGCGCGCTCGTCAACAACAATCTCACTCTCAAAACTGTCCTGCTATTTGATTGTTCAACCAGTCCTGATGACCCAAAACTGTCCTTTCTGTCAGACTTTAAACCACAGAGGCCGAGGCAAAGCAAATAACACAAGGTGCAGCAGATGCCTCCCTTTGTCTGTGAGGTGGTGCAGCAGTCCTAACTTTTAGTGTAAAGTAGTCTTTAGACCAGGGGTGTCAAAATTCTTTTAGTTCATGGGCCACATCCAGCCCGATTTGATTTCCATTGGGCCGGACCAGTAAAACCGTTGGATAATAACCACACTTCAAAAGGTTCCCTTTTTTTTAGTGTAAAGACATACAAACATTCAAATTCAGTCTGTCTACCACTCACTGTCATTACGTGTAATGCTGGCATCAAAACACAAAACTAAAGTTGAAGCTATTGAGGAAGCAGGTTGATTTATCACCTGTCTTACAAACCATTTACAAATCAAAAGTTTTGGCAGTGCCTTAGCAGTCGGGTTCCACCAGTATCGTTTCAAGTTGGAAGTCTGATACAGATTCTTTTATTCTGAAGCTGCTGTTTGACAATATTTTGCACAGTGTTTAATATCTTTAAATATGACCACAAAAAGTATTCAATGTTCTTGGAGAGAACTGTATTCTGGTCAGGGTGGAAGCCTTCGAAGCAACATTTTACATAAAGTATCTACTCACTGTTTAAACTGCTCCTGAAACCTGGCACCTCTTAGCCTTCAAAAGTACATCATTAGGTGAGTAAAGTCACCCAGTGGGTCAGACTAGACCCTATGGCAGGCCCGTTCTAGCCTGCTGGCTGTATGTTGGACATCCCTGCTTTAGAATGAGCGGTCCAAAAAAACGTAAACAAGCGGGCAGCCCATCGTTGTTATTGTTTCAAGCTCATTACACAAAGCAACAATGGGCATGCGCGAGTTGAGAAGATGACATCGTTTTCCAAAACGCTCTGTTTTACATGTTTACATAAAACATAATGGGCACAGCTATTGTGACGTCACCAATTGGTCAGTGGACTTCTGTTTTGAAGCCTCAAGTTCGGCCTTTTGGCTGTTGCCACCTTGGTTGTTTGGAGCCAGTAGTGACCATATTTACAATGCAAACAAGTGGGTTATGTAAAAATTCACCTCCCATACAGCTGTCATGAATGGGGAAGTTAACTATGGAGACCAAAACCGTTTTATGTACCAGGCTGTTAACATGTTTATTTCTGCTGTAAAGTCAGGCATTTTAACATGGAGGTCTATCGGGATTGACTGGCTTCTGGAGCCAGCCCCATGTGGCCATTAGAAGAACTGCAGTTTTGGCACTTGGTGTTGGCTTCATTTTTTAGTCCCCGAGGTTGCCTCTTGTGCCAAACAGATACAATGTAGCCTGAGTTTTGACAAATCTACCTCTTAGATGTCATTTTAAAGCTATAGTGCATAACTTCTACAGGTCTGTAAATGTCCGTTTCACCCAAGCCACTACTAGAGGAGATTACACAATGCTGATTAAGCCGATCAGCTCCTCTAACATCTCGCTGTATTTTTCAATATATATCATTTTTAGTATGCGTGTAGACCGGCGACATTCCCGCGCTGGCGCACAGGAAATGCTTCCTCACAACAAGAAGGGAGGGGGAGGACGAGCGGAGAGTGTCACAGCAAGAGGTAGAGCGCATGTAGAAAGAGAAAGCAACATGGCGGAGAAGCGGCCGAGACACGGTTCAGAAGTGGATCTTACCACAAAGAAAAAGCCTGGACGTTTGGCTGAAGGTCTATTAGCAAAGAATGAAAGTGACCAACGGAGAAGGCAAACAAGGATTTGTATTGGCGTCACTTTTCCTTGGTGGAGAGCCCTGAAGGAAGACATTGGGCTGAGGGCAGACACGGATGTTGCCTTGCTGCTGTTGGATAAGTAAGTGACTTGGTTTATAATTATATTATGAGTAGTATGTGTTGCTGTTACATGTACTGGACCTAGTACTTTATTATTTTCTTGGAAATGGTGCTATGAACGTAATGTAATGTTAGCAGCCTGGTGTTCGCCACGTTGTGTAGCATTGTGTGCACGGTGTGTAGCATTGTGTACACGGTGTGTAGTGAGTGTTACTCTGTGTACACGTTGTGTGGCGAGTGTTACTCTGTGTACATAGAAGTGCCGCCGGCTTATTAGTTGTAATAATGCATTATCCGCTGGGAGGCGACAGAAGTTACGCACTATAGCTTTAAAATATCTTGGTTTTAGTAACCTAAAACGTGTCTACTTGTGTGGACAAGAGACCAAAATGTAACTTAAAATGTTTCACAGGTAAAAGACTAAAAGTTTGTAACCACCTTCAACAATTGCTGAATTAATATCTCCTTTGTCCTAAGATCTTTATCACTTATGGGGCTAAAAGGAAAGGCCATGTTGTTACAAAAATCAAAGGGTTTATCTGTATAGTGTTCACTTAAACTCAGCTTGTCAAGCTCAGCTCTACACTGTCAGACACGTAAGTATTTTAAAGGGATAGTTCGACATTTTGGCAAATTCGCCTATTGCCGTAATCCCTATAGTCATATGAGTAGGTACATTACTTTTAATTGTCAGTGCGTGCTGTTCTGAGATCGGTGGGGCAGAGCTGCCCGCTGAAATGGAGGTGAACAGTACAGGTCCCTCTCTCCCTCAAAACTAATCAAATACACCATCAAATGACTCCAAAACGCTCTTGTGGACAATTTGTAGCTTACACATTCACCACGCTATGAAATAATAATGTAATATTACGAGACAGAGTTGTTTTGAAGCCAAATGCAGAGCCGGAACTACATTCCAGACATACAGTACTTGCTGGGCGGAGTGATTTCAAACAGCTTATGTTTAGTGCAGTTACTCCCGTCATCAAAACAACAAGTTTGTTGAGAAGAAGCCAGAATATACAGAGGAAGAGTTACAGGTTTTGGAAGAAGAGAGAGCAAGAAGAGAGGTTGAGGCTGCTGAGCAACCAGGGGCTGAGGGGAGACCCAGAGACGGTGGTGTAAATGTGGGGCTTACTGGCCACTTTATTAGGTACACCTGTGCAATATAAATATAGAGTACGCCTCAAAATAATCACCGGAACACGGGGAGAACATGCTAACTCCACACTCATAAATCACCACAACTCCTGAGGGAACAACAACATAAAATGTTTCCTAGCAGTCTGTTTATTCCCAACAACGAGAAGTAATGCCAGTCACTTCACTATATGCTCTGGGCAAGCACTTATCCATAACATAACCACAACAACATTTGCATTTTAGCCTTATTTACCATGCTTGGGTTGTAGGCTTATGTTACTCAACATGGAGGTAACGTTACAGCAGAGGGATTGGTGAGCGAAATACACAGCGATCACTTACCACTTCTGCTCATTTTGTGATGCCGACAGATGGTATGACAGTATCTTTCAAGAAAAGCGTTTGAACCATTCCTGAGCTTCTGCGCTCCATCCTTTCAGTGTAGTCCTCTGGTAAAAAATGGTTGGAGCAAACAAACATTTTCCAGACCATTTCCACAGGCGTGTTGGGGTCGATGTCCAGCACAAATAGCCATTGTTTCATCCTGTCCGTATTACTGGTTGGAACTATGTGAAACTTCACTCTGCTCCATGTCTTCAGCTTGTTACCGCAACCTTTTACAATACATGTGTAAACCATGATTTACAAAAGCACTTGTAAACTTTCCTCAAACCTTCTGGTGTGTCCAGCTGACGATACCGCAAATGGCTACAAGCAATAACAACGGCACTGTCTCAGCTGCGCATTGTGTCACTCCGCCCAGTGGTTTACTCAAGAAAGTAGTTCCAAGTATTTGCTTTGTGTGTCGTAATGTTACTTAATTATACATTATTATTTCATAGCGTGGGGAATGCGCAAGCCATGTGTTGTCCACTAGAGCGTTTTGGAGTCATTTGATGGTGTATTTGATTAGTTTTGAGGGAGAGAGGGACCTGTACCGTTCACCTCCATTTCAGCGGGCAGCTCTGTCCCACCGATCTCAGAACAGCACTCACTGACAATTAAAGGTAATGTACCTACTCATATGACTATAGGGATTACGGCAATAGGCGAATTTGCCAAAATGTTGAACTATCCCTTTAAGGTTAGCATGTTCTCCACATATGGTATGTTCATATATTAATGTGCCAGCGAGTCTGACTGTAAGCAGTAAAATTTATGTACAAAATGTGAGAGGTTATGAGTACCTTTCGGCCTCGCAGTGGCCAGTTGCTCCCTCCTGTGAAAGGCTGGGCACCATTGTCAGTAGAGAAGATGATGACGCTGTTCCTGTAGTATCCATACTTTCTCAGAGCATAGGTTACATTTCGGACCGCTTCGTCCACTGTGGACACCATGGCAGCAAACTTCCTCCTGGCAACGTTCGCCATGTCACGGTAGGGGTAGATGTAGGACTTGGGAGTCTGTAGAGGAGTGTGAACTGCCTGGAGGAAAACATTATGTATATATCGTATCATGGTATGACCATAGTTTATTTAATAAAGTGAAATACATTTTTTTTAGATATGCCAATACTGTCAAACCAATATTGTTAATGTTATTTTGTTTAGCTAACTCACTTTACTCATCCTTTTCATTCACTTCTACTTCAGTTAGTCATTTCCTAAATTTCCCAGAATGCCCCACAACCCTTACAATGAGTCAGTTGGAACTCAGTGTTCTCTGCTTCCTACTCGGGAACATTTAAAATGAAACAACCCTTTGTTTTGCTGTTCCTTGTCAGGGCATCAGCTAGATTGCCTCAAACCCCTCAGCCTATAACTTCACATCAAATAAACATGGCTGCCCACAAAAATCAACAATAAACAAATATCACTCTTCTGTGTTTAAACTCTTTTACCCTCTTTTCTGAATGCTTTTAATTAAATGGTTTAAGGTCAATGTGGGCCACACAGTCTGTAATATGTTTCTGATGCTCATAGGAAAACAAACACTTTAATGTGGCCTCAACATTATTCCAACATTTCTGACTTCCCACATCGAGGCATAAACTAACGCAGCATTGAAAATCATGTCATGCTCTGTTGTATTTGACCTATTTTCTGCAATTATTCATGAATAAAACATTCTTTATGATTTTTAGGGGCTTAAACTTAAGTCATGTTCCAGAGATACTTTACATGGATGCTTTTATTGACATTTTTCTGATATCAAATCTCAGCGTGATACCTGGAGGGAGAGCAGCAGGAAGAGCGGCCTGCCCGTGGGGTCGTGACTCTCGAGGATCTTGCGGGCTCTTTGTGTGAAGAGCGTGGTGGAGTACTTTCCTTCCTGGCCCCACGCCACACCCTCGTCGTCATGGAGATCGTACCCACACAACCCAGGGCCATCACAGGACCCATAACTGGGGACAGATGGAGACGTGAGTTAAAGAACTAGACAATGAAAACATAAACACCAATTACTCTTATCTGTCCGGGTTATTTCTTATAATAATAGTAATCATCATCCAGTTTTACCTGTAGTAATCCACACTTCCTGTTAAGGAACCAAAGAAAGTGTCAAACCCCTTTCTGGTGGGCAGGCACGCCTTCCTGGAGGGAAGAAGAAAGAGATACTGTACACAAGCAGTTTTCAAAGCTATTAAGCTGAGGAGTTTTCCTAGTTAGATTTACGTTCTTTTTTTGTTCTGTTTTTTTTTACGCAAACACATAGAATGCATCTTCGACACCGAAGAAACATTAATTTCCTTCTTCAAAAAGATCTGCAAAGGCGAACAGTTTTTAACCTACATTGTTTACGTCCATGTTTGCTAGTGTAAATCACTGACAGGAATGTAAAGGGGATTAAAACGCTGCTTCATGGTGCTACTAATGGTCAAAAACATCACAGGGTGCCTTTAATATGCAGTACAAACTACAAAAAACTAACATTACCGTTAATTTGCACTTACATTATTATACACATGACTATTGTCACACATGTATACTGCCAGATATTAATACATACTTTCAACATATTGTACCACAGTAGCCAGAACTATAACTATAATATTATTACTTTCAATAATGTTGTTGTAAGCTATACTGTCATTACCTGCATCTCTCTCTCTCTCTCTCTCTCTCTCTCTCATTGTGTCATGTGGATTACTGTTAATTTATTATGCTGATCTGTTCTGTACGACATCTATTGCACGTCTGTCCGTCCTGGAAGAGGGATCCCTCCTCAGTTGCTCTTCCTGAGGTTTCTACCGTTTTTTTTTCCCCGTTAAAGGGTTTTTTTGGGGAGTTTTTCCTTATCCGCTGTGAGGGTCCTAAGGACAGAGGGATGTTGTATGCTGTAAAGCCCTGTGAGGCAAATTGTTATTTGTGATATTGGGCTTTATAAATAAAATTGATTGATTGATTGATTGACATTTTACATCAAGTCTGTGAAAACATAGATGCTTCACACACATCTTCCCCGGACAGCAGAGAAGATCTTTACAATCAGCACAATTTCAAGGTGGGCACCCAACATTAAGATCCTTTCCCACTGCACAAAAAGCCTGCTAACATCTGGCTTTTTGATCCAATGTTAAAGGTTTTCACTCTGCATGACTCTGCAGTAGTCACAGGTATTTATCGGCTCCAACTCCAATCGGCATTGATGGAAAAACAACACCCGGGTAAACTCACTAATTTTAGCTGTTTTACAGGCCAGATGCAATGATGCACCATCCCAAAATACCGTCCGTCTCCACCCAAGCAGCGCTCAAAGATCAATCCAAATTAGTCTGCACTGTGTTTGAAAGAAAGACGGAATAAGTAGGCAATATATAAATAGAAGTTACCACTATAACATTTTCACTGGCCTCTGTGATCCTCTTTACTGTTAACTGACCTGTTCTCCAGCCTGTCTGTGGCATTGAGCATGACACACCAAATATACACACACACACACACACCCAGAAAGGCAGAGTCATGTGCACAGCTCTGGTCTACCAGCAATGGTAAAGGAGTCTAAAGCCCATTTTTAATGGCTTTACCTGTGTTTAAAAAACCTGTCCTGCGCTATAACATTAAGTGACGGCCAGAAAAGTGTTTTAGTGGAACATTGAAGTTAAATGTCATCACTTCATCCTCTTATCTTTGTACACATTTGGGTGAAACTTCATCATAATTCGCATTTAAATTCTTGAGTTATGGCTGAAAACATGTTTTGTGAAGTCACAGTGAGTTTGTGCTTTGAGCACCAGAGTCAAGTTCCATCTGGTCTTATCATATTCCAGAGAAGGCAGACATCTCCAACACTTGGCAACTCAGACCAAAACAATCTAGACTGATAAACTGCACTGCAAGTAAGAGGAAATATGTATTTTTGATTTGGGTGCATCTGATTTGTTTGGAATATAAAAAGTGTTTGGGTTAATAACTCCATAGTATTGATGTATTTGTTAGTAGTGAGCGTAGGATAGAAATACATGGTCGTGCTCATCCACCTGCGAAATCTCCACCTCACCTGTAGAAGCCCAGGTGCCACTTCCCGACCATATGCGTGGTGTAGCCGGCGTCACGGAGCCTCTCAGGCAGAGTGTCCATGTGTGAAGGCAGACAGCTCGGCTGGCTGGGTCTGATAATGGAGTGCTGCAGTCCCGTGTGGATCTGATATCTGGAGGAAGAACAAGTAAAAGACTTGTTATTGGCTTTCCACCAGACTAACTGCTCACACAGGATCTGCTAATAGGCCTCACAGAAGAACCGGGGACTCGTTTATCCTCGCTGCTGCTAGGCTGCCTAATCAATAATCAGATTATTCACTGCAGCTGCCTCGTCTGAAGCAGAGCGGTTGTCTTTTGATTTTGAGTTCGATTTCTTTATCTCTCTTCATTTTAAATGTGCCTCTCGTTCTTATTTAGCATGTTTCTGAAGATCAATCAAGTCTCATGTCATATGGAACTATTTATTGTAACACGCAGTAAAAAGATATTGAACAATTATTTACAGCAATCTGACAATAACATAAGAGAAAAATAAGATAAACACTTCCTTGTTTCAGCTTCTACAATGTGGGGATAGCTATTTTTCTTTGTTTTGTAACTGTAATTAAATATCTTCGGATTTCAAACTGTTAAACAATAATGAAGATGAATAATGAAGATAAATAAATGCGACTTCAAGTGAGAAAAACAGATGAATGTGTTTGTAACAGTTTAAAGTACAAGTTGTTCCGTACAATGTCTCAAAGACAGACACTCCCCGAAGTGGTGTCAAAATCCAGTCCAGTATCTCATATGGCAGACAGATGGACAAACTGCCAACATTTCATGCAGGAAGCCAGTAAAGATCAGCTGTACCTGCCCGTGATGAGCTGGCTGCGTGACGGCGTGCAGATGGGCTGAACGTAGTAGTTCTCCAGCGTCACGCCCTCCGCCGCCAGTTTGTCCAGAGTGGGAGTCTTGATGGTCGGGTTGTGGTAGCCGATGTCGTTGAAGCCCTGTTTTAGAAGTCATGAAATGGTTTTGTGTTGGGAGGATTCAGACGGAGATGATTTACACAGAACATTTGGCCCATCCATCTGGAGCAACAAAATGAACTTGACGGTTTAAATACAACTTTGGCGAGTCCTTTTCTCTCTTATGTGATACTTGTCTCCCAGATGGTTGTCATTAGAAAGGTTACAGACCCCTGATATACCTACTCAACTCTTTATATCTCCCTGTATGTAGGAGTCATTTTTATACTGTATTTATTTGTGTTTACATCTCTGACCATGTGTTTTTTGAGATAACTGATAGAGATGTGCTTTACTCAGGTTGCTACATGAGAGAGACATGCAGTTTTTGGTCATGCTCATGCAGCACCGTGACACCTGCCTTTGTTTTGTCACTTGTACCTCCTTGTGAAACATTTTGTTTTTTTCATGTGAGGAGCAAAGAAAAAGTTGCAACAGCAGCAATAAATCATGTCATTGGAAGCACGCATCATTACAAAACCTAACAGTAGCAGCCGTGTGATGGCTGTTTAACGCCAGCAAATAATCAGAACCATAGCCCGACTGATACGGATATTAATATCTGTGATCTTCCAATCAGTTTGTACAGAATTGAATCTGGGTTTTAATTGTTTATTCTCTCATAAAGGTGAAAATACTAAAAGTTTTCTGGACTTTTTTCTGTCTTACTGCTGAAAAAACATTTTGACTCAGCATATTTTTCCAATTTCATGCCACAATGAAACTATTAAAATATTTGGAACCCCATAATTTGAATGATATTATCGCCGGCAGCTGTGGTCCACAATGTCAGAAATCATCCATTCTCGTATGTCATATCATATTTGAAGTCTTGGTTGTAATAACATACTGTACTTTAAATACTGGTGTTGTAATAGATTAATATCTTGTCATACATAAGAGGTAACTACTGCTAGCGCATTATTTAACAGGAGACATTCACAGCTACTCTTTCACACACACCTGGTCGTCCGTGAGGATGAAGATGATGTGCGGCTGGTTCTTCTTCGGTTCTGTCTCATCATTCTGAGCGTTTTTCTCATTCTGAATTGGTTTGGTCCGCTGAGCACACAGGCAGTCCAGGCTGAAGAAAACACTCAGCACAGTCAGAGCAGCAGCAGCAGCCTGCATCTTTAATGCAGGAACCCTACGGAGAACAATGACAGCAACAAAGAAACAATAGAGTGAGAACTCATACGAAGAAAACACCAGGGAAGTAGCTTAAAAATGTTTGAGTCGGCACAAACTCACACACGCATGCCATCAGTGGCGGACTAACTGTAGATCATAAAACCACATTTGAGGTGGCCCTTGCCAACTTGGCTGTAACTGTGATCTGGAACACATCCATCTGGTGGAGGGAGAGCTAAAACTCTGAGGAGGTCTTTTTAACCATTTGCAATCTTTTGGAAGCGAATAATCATAATAAAAAGTGATGAAAATATTAGTCGTGCCTGGGAGAGCAGAGACACACCAGCTTGAATGTGACTTTTCTCACGTTCCCATAGTCTTATATGGTAATAACAAATATATACCGTGATAAAGTCACTTTTCTGGAAAAACAACTGAGCAACAATTCATGAATATATTAACCAGACAGGGACATCTGCTTTTGTCTAATCCAGCAAATGAAGAGACAGATTAAGGTACTTAAATTATGTAAAATCCAACACTAGCATGACGAAGTCCTGCACACTGATTTGTGAAATTAAAGGGAGAGCTAACACGGTATAAATGGTATGACAAAACATCTGTCTGTTGCCGATTTTATACGCTCTCACAGTAAATATTGTCCTGATCCAATTTTTAAAAACAAACCCAGCTTTCCGCACGTTAAAGCTGTAATTGGTATATTTTAAAAAACAACTCTTTGTCGTAGTCTATCAGCTGAAACTCTCACTATTTTAACGCAGTAGTACATGAGACAGTCAGTGTCATAGTCCTCTGTCTCCTCTTACTGCTTCTAATGGCATTTGCAAAAATCCACTGCGGCTGAATGAAAACAACCAATCAACCTAACGCAGCCGTCCATCATGTGAACTGTCAAAACTGTCAAACTATATGAATCATGATTCTGTTATTGCCTTTTTCTTGCCTAGAACGTTTTCAGGAACACATTTTAGTGCACTGTTTACCTGTTAAAGCTTGAGCCGGATGGAGCAATCCGACATGTCTGCTGATGTTGGAGTTTGTGATAGTGCTGCAATAGATTTTAGAGCTTAACCTAAAGGTTACTGTCACTCTTGATTGATCTGTCAATTATTTATTCAATAAATCAATTGATTAATCTGTCAATAAATGTGAAAATTAACTTTCACAAGTTGTGAGAGTCCAAGGTGATGCCCTCAAAGAGCTTGTTTTGCCTGAGCAACAGACCAAGACCTGAAGATATTCAGTTTTAAATTACATGAAACAAGCACACATTTTCTGCCAATTGATCAACATCGTTTCAGCACAGGTGGACTGCATAATGTTCGCAGCTGTTGTTTGTATTGCACCATAAACCTTACATTACAACGTAACTCAGGACAACATACTCCGGTCTAAAAGTTACCCCAGAGTCCACACAAGACTTCTCTGTGACAGAAACCATGAACAGAAAATCAAGCTTCTCAAAGACAACAGCCCATTTTAGAGAGCCTCCCTGGCAGACGGTGCATCCTGCTCCAAGTTTTTCACAAACAAAGGGGTGCAGAGGTGGTGTGTGATTTATCAAGGCCTGATTCACTGGTCGTGAGCAATACATGAAGGAATGCTGCCAGACGTGGTTGTAGCCTCGTCGGAAAAGAACGGTTGTTCATCAATACCTAAAACACAGCTTAAGTTCTCTCAGTCAGTGTTTCAGGGCTGTTAAACTGCTTCACATTAGATTTTACAGGTATTTCCATAGTCTTTAACCCTTTAATTTTGTGCAGGTTTGACATGCAGCTTAGTATTCTGTAAAGGAAAGGGGGGAAAGCAGATTGTATGTGTCTGTATCATCTAGGACATGTTTACAAACTTCAAAGCCCAGAGCTGCAGGCAATGTTGATTTTATGTGTAGGAGTAAAAGCAGCTGTCTTGGTCATAAAGCTGGTGGCCATTAGTTCTGTACTGATGTCTGAACTGGGTTCCCATTAGGTGAGCTACTGGTGTTCATGGAAACAGCACACACACACCTTTCCCCTCTACTTCTGTGTAAGTGTGTGTGTGTGTGTGCGTGTGTGTGTGTGTGTGTGTGTGTGTGTGTGTGTGTTGGACATGAACCCCTTTCCTGTGACAGCTCTGAGTGTGTTAGTTCAGACTATGCAAGCACAGACTGGTCCTGCATTAAACTTGCTTTGAAGTCTGCAGCCTGTATCAAGTTACAAATTAGCTGAGCCCCATTAGAATCACAGCATTTATCAATATCAGTTTTAATTTTGATTTTAACTCTGACATCACACTTTCACCCAGGTGCAAATACTCCAAACAGCTCCATGTGATGTTTAAAGTCAGGACATTTCTAATTGAATGTAAATCTCTTCCTCACAACAGCCGTGTTATTTCAAAGCCAGGCCTGAATCAATACCTCGATAGTGGATCAATGGGAGTGAACGGCTCTTCTCCCCCTCCTCTCCTCTTCCTCTCCGCCACTCTTCAGTTCATTCTTCAGTCCTCGGGTCTGTCTTCAGCTCGCAGAAAGTTTGGTTTGAGTAAAGTTTGCAGGAGACGCCGCATGTCCTCAAGTTTCCACTAAGCCTCCCTTCCTTCAGTCTGAGCGTCCACACTCCCAATGAAAGACGACCAAAGTCAAGACCGCCACAGCACCGCGCTCACACTTCCGGTCTGACCTCGCAAAATAAAACTGTTCTCTGAATGTGAATAATTGGGCTGTAAATGACAGCTAAAAATCTTTGAAATACAAATGCCAAGCATTAATGTTCTCCTGTAACAGATGGAAAAAAGCTGAATGCCCCTATCCTTTCCTAAAGTAACATAATCTTATTTTTGGTGTTATTACATATCACTGAGCTAGTTTGCAAGCTAATGAACTAGCTTACCTAGCTACTTCTGCACTGGCTAGCCCCTGTTTCTGTCTGTAACATCATAATTAACATTTTTCACATTTCAAACTTTATCGTGGATGGCCATTTCTGTGGTTAAGTAATAAATGAATAATAAAAACATATGAATGAATAGACATATGGATATATTTGTGGCTGGGTCGGCTATAGTTAGCTAGTAACCTTGTTAGCTAGGAGGCTAACGGTCGACCAAAAGGCTGACGTAAAACTCAGCTAGTGTCAGCTAGAAACCTGGACATTTTTTTATCCCCCCCAATTGATATTAACATATCATTTGGCTGTAGGTTGGCAGCAATATCAGTCAACAGAGAAACTGACTAGGGACTGTTCATTATCTATGAGAGGGGAGAGGGTGTCAAATAAATTTTTGGCAGCGGACTTTTTTTTTTTTTTGCCATAGAGGAGGAGAATACAATTTTAAATGACTGTGTTTTGTATTTATTTTACAACCATTTAAAAAAAAAAAAAACATGCCCTCCAAACCAGCTGGCTTGGAAGGCATATTTTCCTAAAATTTGCCAAAATTTCACCATTTATCATAGCCAGAAACCATGAAAACAGAAATTATAACTGGATTTCCAACAGTCCTTGAACACATTATGTTGGACAAATGCATCTGTCAGGAAAAAAAACATAACTAAATCTAAGCTTAATGTAGTGATATTTATCAAAATCACTTTATTCTTCAAGTCTTATGTAAGCTTTTACCAAAAATAAACCATTTGCAGTAACTAACCAGCATCCATAGCAACATTGAAAAACCAAGGCTTTATTCAACTCCAGGATTTCATCTTCAACATTCAACTTTCAAACATCATTGACTAAGTTTTTTATAATCTAACAACTAACTTATGGTGGAGGGAAGATCATGCGTTTCCCCCAAGTCACCCAGGGAGGCTCAAGGAAGAATACTTGTAGCTTCGGGGAGAGTCAAAAAAACAGAACAGAAAAAAAAATGATAACAATAATAATAATAATAATAATAATAATAATAATAACTTTATTTGTATAGCACTTTTCAATATAAATAACAAAGTGCTTTACAGCATAAAATATCAGCACACTCAATATCAACATAAAATACATACAAATTAAACATTACATCAACTTAAACATTACTTCATAAAAGCCTTCCTGTAAAAGTGTGTCTTGAGGAGCAATGTAAAACGAGGAACAGACTCTGAAAACCTGATTTCCTCAGGCAAATCTTTCCAGAGTCTAGGGGCCCTGATTGCAAAGGCCTTTTCTCCTTTTGTTTTCAGCCTAGACCTTGGAACAGCTAGCAGTGCCTTATCAGCGGATCTCAGACTGCGAGCTGGTTTGTGTGAGGATAAAAGGTCTGAAATATAGGCAGGTGCTAGCCCAAGTCTGGCCTTAAAAACAAATAAAAGAATTTTAAAATCAATCCTAAAATGAACAGGCAGCCAGTGCAGGGATGCTAAAACAGGGGTGATGTGGTCACATTTTTTAGACCTAGTTAAAAGCTGAGCTGCAGCATTTTGTACTAACTGTAGATGGTGAAGTAATTTCTGGCTGAGACAGGTATATAAGCTATTACAATATTCAAGGCGTGAAGAAATAAAAGCATGGACATAGCTACGGTGACATCACCCATTGGTTAGTGGAGTGCCGTTCTGAAGCCTCAGTTATGGCATTTTGGGCATCTCCATCTGGTGTTTTGGAGCCAGAAGTGACCAAATATGAGCGTGAGGCTGGAGCTGGGGAGGAGCAAGGAGCGGATCTGACTGACAGACTGCAGTGACTGGTAGCTACACCTCACAGACAGCCTGTTACTCAAAGTGGCCCCACCCTTAAATATGCATAACTTTGGGCCTTAATAAAATGTAAACAGGTGAGTTAGAAAAAAAATCCACCCCACAATTGTCAGGAATGTTTACATTAGCTATAGAGACCAAAACACTTTTTTTTTTCCCAAGGCTGTAAACACGTTTATTTCTGCTGGAAAGTTGGGCATTTTAACATGGGGGTCTAAGGGGATTTACTCTGTTTTGGAGCCAGCCTCAAATGGCCATTTGATGAACTGCAGTTTTTGGCACTTCTGTGTCAGCTTAATTTCGTAGCCTTAAAGGTTGCAGCTTGGGTACACCTCAGCCACCCCCCTCCTCTGATAAGTAAAGAACAGTCCCTTAAAACGGTTTCTGCCTCCAGAGCAACTTAGTCTGAGAGGAGAAGAAAAATATTTGTAAGATTTGTAAAATAGCTATGCAATAAGCAATGGTCCTCATTAATGGTAGTATTTTAAAATCAGTTATGAAATTGTTAATGTTAGAATATATTTTCTGTGTTCATAACTACACTTCGCCTTCTTTTTTTATCATGGTACTTTTATTTTGAAGGCTAACATGCTTAACTTCCGCTAGTCTAGACTTTATTTGTGTACCCTGACACAAGGAAAAACGGTAATAAAGTCCCGCAGCCGTTAACACCACACGTTTAACGCCTTTACGCTATCCTTACTCTAATATGTTTCCTGTATATAATGATTATTGTCACCGGTACAGACTTCCTGTCTGTGGCTGTGTGATCCCGGACAGAACATCAGCCGAGCGGTGTGACTGCAGGCTGTTACCCAGGCACAGCGGCCAGCTGGCACTCCGGACAAAACCAGGAATTTCTCTCTTTACGCAACGAACTGTGCGGATGCGAAACTGCATCAAGTCACTGGAGACAAACCAGGGTGAGCCTGGACATAGATCCGATTTATCAAGAAATAAAAGCTCCAATTATCCCTGTATGGGAAGTGGGATGTGCTGCAGCAACAAGGAATAGATCAAGTTAATACAAATATAATCAGCAGACATTAAGAGCATGGTAATTAGGAGTGTTTAAATAAATTAAATATTGTCTGCATCATTCATTTTAGTTAAAGAGCCTACAATCGAATAAAGATGTCAATATGGTCAACTGAGCTTAAACAAAATATTGAAAATATATAGGCATGCAGAGGTAAATGCAGCATTTTTAAATATATGAAGACAAATTAGAAACTTGAAATTGGCATCAGTCAGTCCACAGAAAGTCAGGTATTAGGACAGGAAGTGTGTGTGCAGATGTGTAGCCTATGTCTCTTGACTTTTGCACTGTGTTAAAAGTTAAGCACCAAAACACCAAGACAAATTCCTTATATGTGCAAACCTTCTTGGTAGTGAAACTCTTTCAGGTGTATAAACATCAGTTAATCCAACTGAGTAGCCTGTGTTAACTTTATAAATGTTTATGAAAGCCTCGAGGGGAAAAACCATTTATTTTCTCTGCTTGGTTTGAGCTGCACAAACTTGTTTGTAAAAACTCAAAGACATGTTGCAGCTCGCTCCTCAAATTTGTGCTTTTATTTTGAAGGTTACGAACAGAAATCCTGATTGTGAAATCATAATTGACTCTTTCGAGGATGATGAATGGATGGATGAATTGAGGGGATGGATGACTGACAGTGTTTATTTAAAACACCTAAACGTAAATTAGGCAGAAAGACTGAAAGTATGAAGGAAATTTTTTTTTGTCCTGGTGAAAGGACTTCTTCTCACACCCTGTCTTCTGACTTGTGTTATTCACAGTATTTAAACAGTTTGTCTCCGACAGATTCGAACAGTCTTGACTGTTTTATTAAAAACACACTATTTTTGCCCTAAATATCCTTGTTTTCTCTATTAACCCAATATTAATTATTTTTTTAATGCTTAGACTTAAAGGTCCAGTGTGTAGGATTTAGGGGGATATATTGACAGAAATGGAAGCTAAAATAATAAGTCTGTTTTCAGTTTATAATCACCTGAAAATAAGAATTGTTGTGCCTTCGTTACCTTAGAATGAGCTGTTTATATCTTCATAGGGAGCGGGTCCTCGCACATGGAGGCCATGTTGCACTGACATTTTACCACAGCAACCCAGAACGCACAATTCAGACATTGGCTCTAGATAGGGCTATTCATATTTTTGCGTCAGCCACCATAGTTAGCGGCCCCTCTGCAAAGAGAGCATTGTAAAAACACAGATTTTTCTTTCTTTTTTTTTCTTTTATCCAGAGTTACTTACTGACTTAAATCACAGAGTGTGTTTGTTTTGGAGAAGACAGCTCCCAGTAAAAACCTCCTGAACAGTGAACACTGCAAGAATTCTAACCAGGCTCCAAAAAGCTAAGGGAGCACTTAATCATCACAGTATAACACCAAGTCAGTTAAACTTCAGGGATATTGATCAGGCCATTTAGGAAGCAACAGTTAAAAACCTTGGTGTGACTTTTGATTCATCTCTGTCCTTCGATGCTCACATCAGGGAAATCACTCAGACAGCATTTTTCCATCTACGCAATATCTCAAAGATCCGTCCCCTCCTAAATACCTCAGATGTAGAAATCCTAGTTCACGCCTTTGTTTCATCTAGACTAGATTATTGCAATATCCTCCTCTCTGGCCTACCGCAGCACAGCACAAACAAATTACAACTTGTTCAGAATGCAGCAGCCAGGATACTTACCAAAACCAGGAAATATGAGCACATAACCCCAGCTTTAATCACTCTCCACTGGCTCCCGATCCAGTCCAGATCAGACTTCAAGCTGCTTTTACTCACCTACAAATCTCTTCATGGCCTAGCACCCCCATACTTATCCGAACTAATCACTCCATACGTTCCAGCACGTGCTCTCCGTTCACAAAACGGTAACTACCTCACAGT